CCCCAGCCTGTACCACCACTGCAGAGCATCACCACACACCGCTCAACGGCCCCATTCAGGGGCTGAGGAAAGAAAAACGCTCAAAGCCTGAAATCCGCGTGGAATACTTGCCCCCGCCTCGAGAGCATCACTCCCCCCTTCCCCCCCCAACCCGCCAGGCACAGACACAAAAAGCCACCTCCTCCCCTCTCCGCGGGCTGTTACTCAGAGCCCGGTGCATTGTCAGACACCTTTCTGCATTTAGAAGGAGACGATACCACCACCTATATTTAGAGCAGGTACGGCATCGCCTCCCCCGGCCCCCAGCACCACCGTGTTCCCGGTCTCGGATCCCACGCAATCCCGCACTGCCCGTCAGACCCGGCTCCCCCGGATTTCGGCACAGGGAGCAATGCTCCCGCAGCTTCAGACTGCAGCCATGAACTGCTCAGGGATGGCTGGAAGGGGAGAGGTCATGACTACACCCCTAGCCAGCATTAGGGACCTTCCCCACAGCTGAATGGGGAATGGTTTGTTCCCAAATGAGGATCTGAGCCAGAGCAACGGAAAGAGCTTCCTGGGGAATTTTTTGATCCTTTGGCAGGTGGAAGTGTCTGTTTGGGAAGAACAGGGTGAGCAGGGACAGCAGAGGTGCCACCTACTAGCAGGGACCAATGGAGGCAGGAGCAGCTCTGGGCCCCCATAAGCAAAACTTCGGTGCACAGTGGGCAGTTTGACTACTAGAAGGAAGGATTTTGGTCCACGCCCAAGCCCTTTGGAAGTGGTGGGACTTGCTTCTCACAAAGCAGAGCTCCATCAGGGGAACTCGCAAAGCGGTCAGGGCAGGGGCTGATCTGCACATGCAGGAGTGGGGCACTTTGTGCTTACATCATCTTTCGGTCAGGAGAAGATACGAGCTAGCCAGGACCAAAGCAAAACTTGGCCAGAGCCACTGCTGTGCTGAAGGACAGCCCCAAGCACTCACACCACAACAACCCGCGGCGCAGCAAAGCCGTGAGCAGGAGGAAGGGCAGGATGAGGGCTGCACTGCCTCGCCACGCCCGTCTCCACAAACACGGTCACAGACTGGTCCAAACGCACTGACCAGCCCCCGGCCCGCAGAGCAAGCCCTTCCTGAGGCTGCAAAGGCACAGCACCATCTGGATGCCCAGGACCACGCTCAGGCTGGCGACAGACACAACTTACAGCAGAATCACACCACTGATCACCAGGGTGAGCCACACAAGGCCACCAGCACCTCCCTGGGCATCGCACCCACAGCCGACGGCGTGCATGGATCGCGAAGAGCTGACAGCACGTAATTACCAGCCTAATTAATGACCATCACTGGAAGGTGGCCAAGGTGGCCCTGTCCTGCATTTTCAGTGTTTGCAGGAGGGGTGAGCCACCCTGCTCACCCCCCAGACCACTCTGCTCCTCTCTCAAAGTTCCACCAGCTCTCAGACACCCACCTGCTCCGGCACTGGGGCCATGGGGTTTGCAAAACAAGACCCCCACGTGGCAGCCCCTCTCTCCAAAGGAGGTGCCAGGCCCCAGGAATGGGCAGGGGCAATAGCTGCAGGGGAATGGTGCCAAAACCAGGCTCCTCTCTCAGGAGGACAGACCTTAAGGTACATTATGCATGCACAACATCTTCATTCCCCTGCAGACATGGATATCTTCTTTTCCTGGGAAAACACAGCAAAGAGGCCTCTGAGGGGTTTGCCGTCACCATCTTGGCAGTGTTGGTGCCAAAAGAGCTGTATCCCCAGGAACAACCCAGTCCTCATCCCTTGGGCATCCCACTCCTCCAGGCACTGCTGGCAGCTGAGTTGCCCAAGGACCCTTTGCCCCAGCCATCTCTAATGGAGAAAATGCAATTCCCACCACTGGAAATGCCTAGAACAGGGAGGAGGGTGACATTCCCAAAGATCTCCTACAGCGACAGGTGCACAGCAGCCCCCTGGGGAGGCTTGGTCCTGCCCCCAACAAAGAGTGCAGGCAGCAAAAGCCCCAAGAGGCTCCCCAGCATTGTCAGATGACTTAAATCTATGTATGTGTATATCTTTATATATACAGCATATAAATATATATACACACACACCCCTGTATTTACACACACAGGCACACCTAGAGTTCTCCGTATATAAATAAATATATGTCGGTGGGAGACAATATACATTTGGCAGAACTGAGCCCCCCTGCCCCAGTACAAACCAGTTCGCTTCAGTTGTGCTCCCACTGGCAGACAGAGCTGCTCTGGTCTTTCTGGTGCACTCCCATCCCCTGCACCTCGCCATCACACCTTGCCCCTTTTCCAGGCAGGATGAGACCCCCAGGGAGGGTAATTCAAAGCCACAGCAGCACAAGCCCAAGCAATAGAGCAAAGGGGGCCCCTGCTACCCCCTTGCTGGGGCTCTCCAGCCTTGGGGAGCAGAAAATCATCAGGATGAGCCTTGCCGGGAGGGCCCACTTGGGGTAGGGAGTGGGGCTGCGGCTGGGGGGGCTCTCCCTCTCCCCCCAGCACGCACACCCAGCCGGGCCACTCCACCACCCATTAAATGCTTCTCTGTGCAGAAAAAAAAGTGATAGTAATAAGTGAAACTCGACAGATTTTAATTTTTTTTTTTTTTTGCACAAAGACTTTTTTTTTTCCTTTTTTTTTCTTTTTTTTTATCTTTTTTCTCTTCCCCCCTCCCCTCCCTCCGTTCCGGTCGGTTTTGATTTTCTCCTTTTTTTT